AAATATTACATTCTTGAAAATTTTTCTTAAAAATATTTTCAAAGTATTAATTAATTTAGTTAAAACCGATACTTAAAAAATGCAATATATTAAACTTTTTTATTTTTAATTAAAATGCATATATAAACCGTTGATAAATATTCATTTATGAGTAAAGATATCATATTTATTTATTAGAGTCTAATGAAAATTAACGATAAAAAAAAAAATTGATTTTTTTAAAAAAATCGTAGGTGGTCCTAAACTTTTTGGTAGGGAGTGTATGTTGGATCAGGTAGGTTTTTCTTATGGACCTAATGTTAAAGTATGTAGGCTTTTAAAGTTCTAATAATTAGTTTTTTCATTTATAAACATAGTTCATAAATCAAGCAATTCCGATATTTGAGATATTGCATCCTGGTTGCATCAGAGTTTTTTGTTTTGATCAATCTACAAACCATAATGCAATGGTAGTTGATGCACTAATTGTAACGACACAACCTAAGGTGCGCGACGGTTAGTATATTAATGAAAATGTATACATTCGATGATATTCATCAACGAAAAGGGCGGCCAAAAGGTATCAAGCAAGTACTTAAAGACCGTAATCTTTAGCCAACGAAGGGTACTCGTTTGATGTGAACAGTGCTCTGGAAAATGTGACAATGTTGAACTGAAATCATAATATTCTTGGCTACCTTTCAGCATCCACCAACCAGACTTCTTAAAAACGTCTAAACATCCTCAAGGACTAGAACTTGACATCTACTATCCACAGTATGGATTTGCTATAGAAGACTTTGAGAAGCAGTTTATGCAAAAAAAAGAACTGTGAAGAAAATTGTATTGTTTTAAGATGCGTTTGGTATTAACTTTAAATGCTTTGGTGATTTCACATTTTTTCGATTATAATTTTATTCACAAAAATCGAATAAAAATTTCTCAGATACACAGTAAAAAAATTAATTTGCGGAAAAAATGTATTGTATAAAAACTCATCTGTGACTTACTTATACCGCTCCATCGTATCGATTTCCACAAGTGGTCGTTGAGTGATTTTTATTACGATATTGCGCCAGACTTCGGATAATTCGGCACGTGGAAATGATTAGGTAAGATAATTTTCATGACGCATATTTCAAAAATCAGGGATGAAAGCCACAGAAGTATTACTGTGCCTATATGACATGTGCCGATAAAGAGATTTTCTGGCGATAGCAATATGCTTGCTTAGGAACATTTAAAAAAGCCGAAAATTCGATTAGAATGAGATATTCTTTTAGAACCTATCCGAGCATTAATCCAACATACGTTGTTAATGCTTGGCGGTATATACTCGTTCGACGATATTTGATGTAAAGTAAATTTGATTTTATTAGTTTTGTTCGATTTTGTTTTACTTGTATGAAGCGATAAAAGGGTCAACTAGTGAAACTTAACTCCTTTATATGTTTTGTTGCGTGATCTTGACATCGGCAAGTATGGTCCATCACGAAAATCTTGATGTTCCTTTATATATGAACCAGTATGTGCGGGAAAGTTCAAAGAACAGCCGTGATTGGATATTTGGCAGTGAATCAATCAACCGGAAAAGTATTTTCCGCTTCATAGTCTTGCCACAAATCCCGTGATGATCGAAGTGGAATTTTCAGAAAGGGAAGTTTGATTAACATTTATGAAATTAAAGCAGACAACGAATAATAATTAACTTACCTCATAACCTAATACCCACGATACAAAAAATCGAATTAATTATCCATAGGAATCACATAAGTATGACCGCCATGGAAATCCGGTCAATTTATATTCCATATATTGCCCATAAAAAAATAAATTTTTTGGTTAGATTAATTCTGCAATGAATTAATAATGACCCGAAGGAAAATTCGTTTAACAGATTAACGAATTATCAGAAGCACGACCCCGCATGTGAAAAAATTAATGTAAACACCAATTAATTTGCAAAGGATAGACTTTATTATAAATTATCACGTAGAAACGAATAATAAAGTTTGGGATTCACCCGTCATCGTAGTCATTTACATTAAAATATTCTAACTCTTTTTTCTCTTTTTCAACTTCAGCCTGTCCTTGTTCCGACCATTGATTAAAGTTTATTTGGCTAAAAAATGAAATTAAGAGACGCTTTGCTTTATATCGAAATATTTCTTCTTCTGTCATCGTATCAAAAAAATCTTCCATAGAAGCTATATCAGAACTTACGTTAGCGGTACCAAAAATTTGTTTAATCTTTTGCCTTTTTGGTAGTGGTTCTTCCACTTCAGAAGTAGAAATTCCCAAAACTTGATCCAATTCTTGACCCAGTTCTTTATTTTCTGATCTCTCCTGTTCTAACTCCGCAAATGCAAGGTTTTTTCGTAACAGTGCCACAGCATTAACTCTTGGAAGCTTGAACCCTATGATATTTCTATCATTATCGTTAAGCCAATAAAAACGCCAATCATCTATCAAATCAGTCAACACTGCCAAAATAGTATAATTTGATTTTAAATCCGCCGAGATTAATTCCGCCATAATTTGAAATGTATCAGCTTTTACAATGATCTTCTTTAATTCAAAAAGGATTCGAATATGTTTTTCTGGTAATTGCATGGCAATAGAATGTCTGTCTACTATAACTAAATCTGTTGTGCCAGATAGTTTCATTGGAAGAATGTCAGCACTTGTAGTAAGAAAGGAATTATCGTTTATTGTATCATAGATTCCAAGTCTCCGAAATGATCCAAGTTTGAGAATATTAGTGATATAAGTCTTATATCTACCGTTTTGTAATATTTCTGCTTCGTCTGACCATTTGAAAGCATTAATCCTCTCGTTCAAATTTAAGTCAAGGCCTGGCAGTTCCTCTTCAAGAGTTGTTGTTTTGTAATCAAGCCCAGTATACTCTAGAATCTTCGCCAAGTATTCTTCGTTTACACTTGATATTTGTATTACAGATTTATCTTTTATTAAATTATCAATTTTTCATTCATTTCTTTATTCATTTCTTTCATCGAATCGAGTATTGTGATTATGTCATTATCGTTTCTTGTAACTGCGGACAAATGGTCAAAAAAAAAAAGGAAATTCCGATTATCCGATTTTAACGAGCAAAGCCAGTAAAAATAGTCCGCCACAGAAGATAATAATAATGCGGAAGGAAATGGGAAAATGTTAGTGATTATTAAACTTCGATTCACTAAATTCTATTGCAATTCTACTATTTGTTTAACAGTGAACTATTTTCTCAAACTCACCGGTTAAAGCAGGCAACTCAGGCAATTCAACAATGACGTCAATATGTTCTTCGGTGATTGTGGGAAAGCAATTTTCAATTTTGTTTGTAGGAAGCAACAACTCCCCACCAAGCACATTCGGAATGTCTACACTAGGGTCATTGAGATATGGCGAGTTAATAGGGACATTAACCTTCCATAATTTAAGGTTTTTTGCTT